TTCTAGTCCAACCCCCTGCCCAAGCGGGAGACCCTACACCATTTCTGACAAATGGCAGTCCAATCTAAGTCTCAACTGATGGCGCTCCCACAACTTCCGAAGGCAACTTCTGTTCCATTGGTTGATTGTTCTCACTGTCAGAAAGTTTCTCCTTGTTTCCAGGTTAAATCTCTCCTTGTTCAGTTTCCATCCATTATTCCTTGTCTGGCCTATAGGAGCTTTAGAAAATAGCTTGACCCCTTCCTCTCTGTGGCAGCCCTTCAAATATTGGAAGGCAGCTATCCTGTCTCCCCTGGTCCTTCTCTTCACTAGAACAGCCATGCCCAGTTCCTGCAACCGTTCTTCGTATGTTTTAGTCTCCAGTCCCCTAATCATCCTGGTTGCTCTTCTCTGCACTTTTTCTAGAGTCTCAACATCTTTTTTACAATGTGGTGACCAAAACTAGGTGTGGTCTTACTAAGGCTTTATAGAGTGGTATTAGTACTTCCCTTGATCTTGACTGTATCCCTCTGTTAATGTAACTTAGGGTTGCATTAGCTTTTTTGGCGGCTACTGCACACTGCTGGCTCATATTTAGCTGGTTGTCCACTAAGACTCCAAGATCCCTCTCACAGTTACTGCTACTGAGCCTGGTTTCACCCAGTCTATATGTGTACTTTTGGGTTTTCTTGCCTATGTGTAGGACTTTACTTTTCTCTACATTGAATTTCATTTTGTTAGATAGGGTGCAGTGTTCTAGTCTGTCAAGATCCATCTGGATCTTGAGCCTGTCTTCTTGGGTGTTAGCTATTGCTGCCAGCTTAGTATCATCTGCAAATTTGGTAAGTTCCCCTTCTATTCCCTCATCTAAGTCGTTAATGAAGATATTGAAGAGTACTGGGCCTAAGACGGAACCTTGTGGCACCCCCCTGCTTACTTCCCTCCATGCAGACTTAGACCCATTAAGGACTACTCGTTGAGTACGGTTTGCCAGCCAGTTGCGAATCCATCTAGTGGTGGTGCTATCTATTCCACTTTTTTCTAGCTTACTAAGAAGTAGGTTGTGGTCTACTTTGTCGAATGCCTTGCTGAAATCTAAATATATTATGTTCACAGTATTTTGCTGGTCTACTAGTTTAGTCACTGTGTTGAAGAATGAAATAAGATTGGTTTGGCATGATCTGTTTTTAACAAACCCGTGCTGACTGCTAGTTATTATCATCCTCTTTTAACAGCCCCATAATCCCTTGCAGGGTGGAGTCTAGGCAACTGAATGGAGCTGAGTGTTTACTGGCCGGATGCCCTTCCTGTCGTCAGTGCGGAGTTATATTCAACAGATATATTCTCAGCGTGCAGCTGCACAAAACATATGCCCACTAGGTTGGCAGCAAAGAAATGCAGAAATTTTGTTGGCTGCTGTCTAATGGCCATAGGCATTGCAATCCTGATATGTCAGCTCTGAGATTTGCTCTAAAGGATAATGCGAATTTGAAATCAAAGTCTAATGAAGATGTAATAATAATATAACATGACATGGAAAGTTGATTAATGTAACATGAATATAAATTTAAATCCAAGAGGAAAAGACTATAGATATTGTGCACAAGAAATATGTACCAACCGACACACTATAATTGAAAGAAGGTTTTATTTGTTGTTTTATGTTTATGTTTGTCTATGTTTGTTGTGAAAAATAAAAAAAACATTTTTGGGAAAAAAAAATCCTGATATGTCAGCTCTAAGCTTATTGGTAGAAGGAATCCTTTTGTTTTCAATAATTTTATTAAGCTTATCAAAATATAAAATACAAATGAAGACGAAAGCAGTGGGAAAATGGAGGAGGGAAAAGGAGAGAGAAAGAAGTGAAAGGTAAAGGTGAAAAAAGAAAGAAAAGCATTGAATTCAGACTCCTTTTTAGCCCAATAGAATAAAATAGTAACATTACAGTCTCAGCTTTTTATTTTTATATGCTGGATATGCACGAGCCATTTCCATAACAACAAATGTATCTAATCAGCAAATAAATAAATAAATCGTTTCCCCCCATCACAAGCACAAAATCCAGAAGCAGTTTCCAAGAAGGAACAAAGTTGGATGTGTTCTTTTCTTTGATTAGATTGGTTAATTTAGCCATCTCACTTAAATTGCTAAATAAAAATTCCATCAGTATTTCCAGTCATTGTTGTGGTTTGCTGGCAGCAGGTGTGGACGGCTACGAGGGGCGTGCGTGTGATGCGGGGATGGGGCCAGGACTATTAGGGAGTGGAAGCTGCCTTCGGAGATTGTGGAGGCTGGCAGCAGTGATGAAGAGGTCCCCGAGGAGCCTGTGCCCAGTGCGTGTGCGCCCAGGGCTGCTCGAAGGAAAGAGCATCTGCAGCAGCATGGGTGAGTCGGGAGTAAGGCTGCAAGGTAATGGCCCCTCCCTTAAGAGACAAAAGCCAGCTGAGAAACCAGAGTTCTTTGCAGGAAGCAAAGAAGTTTTTGCACTCAAGCCTTGTGGAGTTTTTGGAATATCTTGGTTGGTGTTTGGAGACACTTTGTGTTTGAAATATTTCTTAGTAATTTTATCTAGTGTTCTTGGCAGCCTTGCACAACCTTGGCAAGGCTCGTTCTTATCAGAGACAATTAGTTTGAAACAGCCTTTTAACCGTGAAGGAACGGAATTCGTAAAGAATCATTAAAAGGTTTTGTTCTTACCTCTGTTTCATGTTTGTTTCCTTGGAACAAGGTTTGGGTCAGCACAGTATTCATCTTTTGTGGGAGTCAAAGTTATGTTTCCATTTTAGTGCATAAAGCACTCTGGCTGTTTTCAACACATATAACAAAAAGGTTCCAGGTTTCTTTTTCAAATTCTTGGTCCATTAAAACCTAAAAGAAATGTCTCTGCTTTAATTTTTATATTCGCTTTAAGAATCTTTTGTATTCAAATATGAATACTTACCCAGTATTTCTTTGCGGTTGAGAAATATTTTTTAAAAGCCTCAAAAACTTTTTATTTTATTAATTTAGCGTATGGCATCTACAGAGGTCATGAGGAGTGGTGCGATGGCCTAGGGGCGGAGCTCTCGCCCTCACAATCAGGAGGCTGAGAGTTCGATCCTAGGTAGAGGCACATAGTTCTCTCTCTGGGCAAAATGAGAATATATATCTGCTGAACAAAACTCTGCATTGGTGACAGGAAGGGCATCCGGCCATTAAAACACTCTGCTTGCTTTCATTCAGTTGCTCAGACTCCACCCCGCAAGGGATTATGGGGATGTTAAAAGAAGATGATGATCTACAGAGGTCATGCAAACACTAATATGCAAACTTAGTTTAAATAGAATATCATCAAATGCTTTCATTTTCCGGAACTGTATTTGAGATGGAGTTCCCTGTATGAGACAGATGGGCAGTTAAAAAGTTCGATATATAAACAAACAAACAATCTCAAATGTAAATAGCTCTGAATTTATAAACAAGCTTCTCTCCAAGAGATCAGTTGAAGACCATGGGACTTCTTATTACAGGTAGTCCTCGACTTTCCACCATTTGTTTAGTGGCCATTCGACTTTACAGCGATACTGAAAAATGTGACTTATGACCGTTTCCCCCACTTACGACTGTTGCAGATCCCTGTGGTCATGGGGTCCAAATTCAGATGCTTGGGAACTGGTTCATACTTATGATGGTTGTCCGGGGTCACGTGATCCCCTTTTGCGACCTTCTGGCAAACAAAGTCAATGGGGAAGCCAGATTCACTTAACAACCGTGTTACAAATAGAATGGAATTGAATGGAATTGAATGGAAGAGAACAAACTGAATAGAAAACATGGAGTGGAGTAGAGTAGAATAGAGTAAGAGTAGAGGTAGAGGTAGAGTAGAGTAGAGTAGAGTAGAATCGAATAGAGTAGAGTAGAGTAGAGTAGAGTAGAGTAGAGTAGAGTAGGATAGGATAGGATAGGATAGGATAGGATAGGATAGGTTGGGATAGGATAGGATAGGATAGGATAGGATAGAGTAGAGTAGAGCAGAGTAGGATAGGATAGAGTAGGGTAGGGTAGGATAGGATAGGATAGGATAGGATAGGATAGGATAGAATAGAATAGAATAGAGTAGAGCAGAGTAGAGCAGAGTAGAGTAGAGTAGGATAGAATAGAGTAGAGTAGAGTAGAGTAAGATAGGATAGGATAGGATAGGATAGGATAGAATAGAATAGAATAGAATAGAGAATAGAATAGAGAATAGAATAGAGAATAGAGTAGAGTAGAGTAGAGTAGAGTAAGATAGGATAGGATAGGATAGGATAGGATAGGATAGAATAGAGAATAGAATAGAGTAGAAGTAGAGTAGAGTAGAGTAGAGTAGAGTAGAGTAGAATAGAGTAAGATAGGATAGGATAGAGTAGAGTAGAGTAGAGTAGAGTAGGATAGGATAGGATAGAGTAGAGTAGAGTAGAGTAGAGTAGAGTAGAGTAGGATAGGATAGGATAGGATAGGATAGAATAGAATAGAATAGAATAGAATAGAATAGAATAGAATAGAATAGAATAGAATAGAGTAGAGTAGAGTAGAGTAGGATAGGATAGGATAGGATAGGATAGGATAGAATAGAGAATAGAGTAGGATAGAATAGAGTAGAGTAGAGTAGGATAGGATAGAATAGAATAGAATAGAGAATACAGTAGGATAGTGTAGAGTAGAGTAGAGTAGAGTAGAGTAGAGTAGGATAGGATAGGATAGGATAGGATAGGATAGAATAGAATAGAGTAGAGTAGAGTAGAGTAGAGTAGAGTAGAGTAGGATAGAATAGAGTAGAGTAGGATAGGATAGGATAGGATAGGATAGGATAGGATAGGATAGGATAGAGAATAGAGTAGGATAGAATAGAATTCTGAATTGACTGAGGAATTCTGGGAGTTGAAGTCCACAAGTCTTAAAGTTTCCAGGAGAGCCCTGATCTAGAGGTTTCCACTGTTAACTTACTATCCCATATGTAGAGTGTACTGATTATATTCACTGTGATGTCCCATCTATTTCAGGAGCAGTTCTGCCTTTGAAAGAAGCAAAACAGATGTGTTTCGAGTGAAAACCAACAATGTTGGAGCCATCCGGAAAATAAGGTATAATCATGAGATTAAAGCCAGCCTAAAGTACCCTAAAGGGTGGCTACTTGAGTAATTATGCTCTACATGGGGTTGCTCTTGAAGAGCATCCAGAAGCTCCGCTTGGTCTAAGGTTAAAGTTTTTGGGGTTTAGTAGACAGTTATTTTAGTAAAATAGTAGACAGTCTAAGGTGCATTGGCTGCCTATTTGCTTCCAGGTGCAATTCAAGGTGCTGGTCCTCACCTTTAAAGCCCTTCATGGCTTGGGACCAGGTTATCTGAGGGAACGTCTCTTCCCAGTCACATCTACCTGACCCACCTGAGCGGGGAGGCAAGAAACGTTTCAGGTCCCATCCCTGAGGGAGATACACCTGGTGGAACAACTGGTGGGATTCCAGGGATGGGATTCAAAATTTTTAACAACCGGTTCTGTGGGCATGGCTTAGGTAGTGGACGTGACTTGGTGGTCATGTGACTGGGTGGGTGTGGCTTGTTGGTCCTGTTATTGGCTGGGCGTGGCCAACTCAATATCACTCACATCGAGACAAGCATCTCCTCACCTGGCCTCTCATGACTGTGGGGATGCTGCAACAGTCGTAAGTGTGAAAAATGGTCATAAGTCACTTTTTCCAGTGCCATTGTAACTTTGAATGGTCACTCCACACAAGCAAAGTACCAGCAAAGGAGGGGAAAAAAGCTCTAGAGAAGTTCCTGAGACAGGAAGTCTAGTCCTGCCAAGAACGTAATAAGGGTTAACAGAGAGGCAGTTTCTGTAAGCAACACCAGAATGTTTCCTTCCTGCCTTCCTTACAGGATTAGGCCAGTAATTTCTTCTAACCACCGGTTCTCCGAACTGCTTAGAGTGTTAACAACCGGTTCTAGCGAATAGGTGCAAACTGGTAGAATCCCACCCCTGTGAGATTTCAAATCTTTTCTTATTGGTTCTATGAGAGAGCGCTTCCTGCGTGTGCCCGCACAGCACTCAAAGACCGCCCTCACTGTCAGCATTGGTACGGCAATCCACTCTGCCACATGAATCAGTTGAGCTAAAAGACAAGGGAATATAGGACAGGGAACAGTGGGGGCGGGAGGGCGGGGCCAGCCAGAGGTGGCATTTGCCGATTCTCCAAACTACTCAAAATTTTCACTACCAGAACCGCTCCAAGCCGGCTGAATACCACCTCTGGGTGGGACCCAGAAGAAGGGGCTTCTCCGTGGTGGCTTCCTCTCTCTGGAACATCATCCCCCCAGAGATTAGAATGGCTCCCATTCTAGCACTCTTTATTTTTATTTTATTTTTTTATTTTATTTGATTTGTCAATTGCTTACAAGATAATAGGTATAAGTATAAACATAGGTATGAATACATGGATACATATAAGAAAAATAAAAGAAACAATAGGACAGGGATGGTAGGCACGTTGGTTAACTTATGCACTTAGGAAAGGGGTGAGGTCAATAGTAGACAGTCTAAGGTTAAAGTTTTGGGGGTTTGGGGAAGAAACCACAGAATCAGGTAGAGTATTCCAGACATTGACCACTCTGTTGCTGAAGTCGTATTTCCTGCAATCAAGTTTGGTGCAATTAACCTTGAGTTTTTATCTATTGTTTGCTCTTGTATTGTTATGGTTGATGCTGAAGTCATTGACAGGTAGGACATTGCAATGTATTATTTTATATACCATACTTAGATCAGACCGAAGACGGCGTAATTCAAGGTTTTCTCTTCCGGAAGGCGCTAAAGACCTGGTTCTGCCAGTGGGCCTGGAGAACCCAGAGTGGGACAGAGCCCATTAAATGGCTCGTGTGATGTGTTATTTCTGGGGTGGCAAGTTGTAGGCTATTATATTATTGTATTATTTTCCTTTATTAGTTTTATTTCTTTTATATATGATGTTTTTATACCCCTGTAAGCCGCCGTGAGTTGCCATGTGTGAATAGGTGGCAATATAAATTTTCTAATAAATAAAAATACTTAGCTGACCCCACCCCTTGCGCTTCCTGTCCCCCCCACCCATATTTTAAAATATAGTATTCTGTTTTCTTTGTTTTGTTTTAATTATTTCATTGATTTGCTATAGTTATGTTTATATTTTATTATTATTATTATTTTCACCATTTTACTATTGTAGGGTAGCCCCAGAGCGAAATGGGGGGCAAGTAAATTTAATAAATAAATAAACAAGGACAAAAGAAATCCACACAACTTAGTTTTTAAAAGCTTCATATAATTTCCAAAACAACACAAATTAACATTTGAAGCATGTGGTCAGTTGCGTTAAATCAGGGCGGTTCAAATGAATACAGGTTTATTGCATGCTAACACTCTCTACCTGCTGGGGGTTTATAGGGGTTCGAGAAATCCTCCAGCTAAGATTTTGCACAGTTCAGAAAACCCCCAACCCGACTCTTGGCTGGCCCCGCCCACCCCGCCCTGCCCAGGAGTCTCCACGTGGCCCGTTTTGGATGCAGGTATAAGTGCAGAGCACACACGGAGGGTCAGGGAGGGTGAAAAACGGGCCTCCCAGAAGTTTGGGAAGGCCGGAAATGGGCCCGTTTCCAGCCTCCAGAGAGCCTTTGGAGCCCGGGGAGGCAATTTTCACCCTCCCGGAGGCTCCAGGAAAGCCTCCGGAGCATGGGGAGAGCAAAAATGCCCCTCCTGCCGTGGTGCAGGAGGCTGACTAGGCCATGCCCACCAAGGCCACACCCACCCAGCAATCGGGCAGAGAACCTGTTGCTAAAATTTTTGAAGCCCACCCCTGACTGGAACTACTAATGGTCAAAGCAAATGGGCAGTAAATAAGACTCAACAGAATTCAAGGTGGGTTGGACTTAGATCTCTTATGGGTGTGAAGGGCCTGAAGACACATTTGACCTCTCCCTCAGTCTCAGTCTAGTCATTTCCTAGATCCTATGTTCCTTCTGAAAGCTTTGTAATATTCCTTTGATCTATAGCAGGGATATCAAACTCACGTTGTCATGGTAGCGTCACATGACATAGCGGGACTTTCCCCCCTTCACTAAACCAGGTGTGGGCGTGGCCAGCACGTGACGCATATGGTCCACGGGCCAGAAGTTTGACAGCCCTGATCTATAGGGTCTCCTGCTTGAGCAGAGGGTTAAATTACAACAATGGTCACCAACCAGTGGGCTGGGGACCACTGGTGGTCCATGAGAAAATGTTGGCAGTCCGCAGAGAAATGTCACCCCCAAAGTACCCCCAAAGCAAGTAATCCAGGCTGTGCGGGAACACAAGGCTGCGCTGCCCACATGGCCCACGGGAACACAGAGGCTTGCATCGTTTGCATTGCAAACAACACGAGGTAGTGAGGGGAGGGGGGAAAGGATGGAGAGGGGGAACTTGCCCCACGTGCCTCACCTGGCCTCCAGACTGCTTCTTTCTGCTTCTTTTTTCTTCTGCTTTTGGCTGCACGCAAGGAAAGCAGCAAAAGTCTTTCTTTCTCTCCCCCAAACTCCGCCAGAAATGAGTCTTTGGGACCCTGCAAGGCCTCCTGCTCCAAGAGGCTGCGCCGGTGTGACAAGTCTCACAAAGATCATTTCTGGCGGAGTTTGAGGGAGAGAAAGAAAGACTTCTGCTGATTCTGCTGCTTTCCTTGCATGAAGCCAAAAGTCTCTCCCCCTGAGAACAGATCTGGAGACAGTATCCTGCGATCCCAAATAAAGAATGATCGATCGGTAGGAAAACGGGGTGGGGAATTTTCCTGCAGACTTTTGGGAGGATTTTTCCAGGGTCTCTGATCCATGGGATTTAAAATTATGAGTTTGGTGGTCCCTGAGGTCCAAAAGGTTGGCGACCCCTGGATTAGAAGACCTCCAAAGTCCCGTCCAGCTCTATTCTGATTGAGTATATGATATAAAATACAGGGATAGCATCAGAAAAATGTATGGAAAGGAACACATAATAATATGATACACATAAGGTGGAGATGTATGGTCAATTTTGTAAAGTATAAGAAATTCAAGAAGTTATACGTATATTAAATTACATACCACATTTTAAAATATGTGGGTTCAAAAAAAAAGAAAATAAGTATTCTATATATTAATATCTAGACCATATCCATCAAGTGCGATACTTTGGAGCTTAGACAAAAGGAACTTGATATTACCCTGTAGATTCTTAGTCTTCTCATGGTTTTCATGTAATGAAAGCTAAGTCAGAAATTTAGGAAATGAAGCTTTTTATCTCTCCACTGCAAATTTTTAGTATAGATTCCAGATTTCTCACAAAATCCTCCCTCCCTCTTTAACAATACATAGATGTTCAAAGTGCTTGTCACTTCAAAAACATCAAAATATGAAATGAGCTCATTGCCTTTGTAGAAAGAGGTTTGCATAAAAGTCTTTGTTGTGTTAAATTCATGAGGTAAATCGTTACTTCAGAGCCTTGACTTCGTAGGTGTGATGTCTGTGTTGCTGTTGCCAAATTATGACAAAAGGGAAATGTACCACAACGTCCCTCAATCCGATATCCTCTAGTTGTGTTGGGGTTACAATTCCCAGCATTCCCAGCCAGGGAAGAAAGGGGATTATGGGAGCTGCCATTCTAAAAAACACCCCACTCCTTTACCCTTAAACTATCCACTATTGACCTCACCCCATTCCTTTTTTTGTTTTCAAAAATTTTATTGAACAAACACAAAAAAGAAAGAAAAGGACATTAAAAACAGTGGACATGGTGCAATCATCCTAACCTATGTAGTTGTCTTACATTGCTGAGTCATATAAAAATAGTACATATTTACATTCTATATATGTAGTATATAATATATACATAAAATCATTTCTTATTTTCTTGATCCTTCCTCTTTTCTAACCAGCAATAAAACTTATTCCATACTTTGTAATAATCCGATTCATCCTTATTTTTTAGTTCTTTTGTCCATTTGTCCATTTCTGCACACATCCACATTTTCCTAATTATTTCTATTACACTTGGAGTTTCTTTACATTTCCATGTTGTGCATAGGCCAATCTTGCAGCTGTGGTTACATGAATTGTTAGGTATATATTTGTCATATTTTCCCACATTAATTCTTAACAAGAAAAAAATCAGGTCTGTCTTCTATTTTAATCTTACACATCTCTTCTAACCATTTCTGAATTTTCTGCCAAAACTTTTGGGCTTCTTTGCAATTCCACTATAAATGATAATACGTTCCTCATTTTGGCCTTATCCCATTCCTAAGAGGTCTGTGCATAACTGAACAATTGTGCCTATCGTCCCTGTCCTATTGTCCCCCATTTAATTTGTACCTATTTCCTGTATTATTACTCATGTTTATACTTATATCTGTTGTCTTGTAAGCGATTGACAAATCAAATCAAATCAATTCAAATAAATAAATGAAATAAATAAATAATGCATCTGAGGGCAGCAGGTTGTAAAATATCAATTTTAATAATTGCCAGCCTGCACCCTTCTTTCTCTTCTCTATTTGTGTGGCAGAATTGAGCACGACAACACCGGAATGAACGCCAGCTGGTATCTTGACCGTGTGATTGTGACAGACATGAACAGGCCCCACCTCCGTTTTTATTTCCCGTGCAACAATTGGCTGAGTAAAGATGAAGGGGACGGACTTTATGTCAGAGATCTGATTGGCAGCCTTAACCCTATGGATGTTCCCAAAGGTACATCATAGCATACTGTAGTGAAGTGTGCAAGGGAAGGGGGCACTCTCGGCCTGTGGTGGGGGGAGGGTGTTCTTGCTGTGTCCTCCTCTCATCGCTATAGAGGGTAGATGGGCTGTTCCATGCAGCCAAGGTTGATTCCTTACGGGAAAGGAGAAGACAAAAGGGCTTGGATTCCCCTCATTTGGGGTACTCTGTTATGGGGGGGGGGTCTCCTGCTTGGGCAAGGGGTTGGACTAGAAGACCTCCAAGGTCTCTGTGATGACTCAGGGTGGGATACAAAAGCAACAAAGTCACAAAAACAAGTGAAGTCCCTTTAATTCTTTCAACTTGGCTTCAAAACTCCAATTATCATGACTGATATACAAGATAGTCCTTGACTAACAACCACAACTGAGCCCCAAATTTCTGTTGCTAAGTGAGACAGTTGTGAAGTGAATTTTACCCCAATTTTACGAACTTCCTTCCTGCAGTTATTAAGTGAATTCCTGAAGTTGTGGAGTTAGTAACACTGTTGTTAAGTGAATCCGCTTTCCCCATGGACTTTGCTTGTCCGAAGGGTCGCAAAAGGGGACCACATGAACCTGGGATACTGCAGCTGTCATAAATATGAGTCAGTTGCCAAGCGTCTGAATTTTGATCATGTGACGATGAGGATGCTGCAATGGCCATGTGAAAAATGGTCATAAGCCACTTTTTTCAGTGCCATTGTCATTTCAAACCCTAAAATAATAGAAATAGAATAGAATAGAATTCTTTTATTGGCCAAGTGTGATTGGACACACAAGGAATTGGTCTTGGTGCAAATGCTCTCAGTGTACATAAAGGAAAAGGTACTTTCGTCAAGAGTCAATAATCATAAGGTGCAACACTTAATGACAGTCATAGGGTACAAATAAGCAATCAAATCACACTAGGAAACAGTCAATAAAAATTGTTAGGATACAAGCGACAAAATTACAGTCCTACAGTCACAAGTGGGAGGGGATGGGTGATAAGGAGTGATGAGAAAATTAATAGTAATAGTAGTGCAGACTTTGTAAATAGTTGGACAGTTTTGAGGGAATTATTTGTTTAGCAGAATGATGGTTGTAAGTCGAGAACTACCTGACATTTTTCCATCTAATCCAATTTTTCTTTTAATTTTTGCAGGCAACAAATCTAATTTTTCATTTTCAAATGTCACAGAAGCTAAAGTTTCGTTATCCTTTTGCTAAAGGAAACCACAGTTATCTTATAAACTTGGGAAAACCTAAACGTCAGCGTAGAAATAGTGAAAATAAATGAACACGTTTGAAATGTCTTTGCAACAGAGTTCCCCAGTGGTAATAAATGCATTCTAGGATGGAAAATTTCATGAATTTAAATCTTGCCTAAAGCAATATCCAAATTGTTGCCTTGTAGGAGTTTTTTAAAGAAAAATTATACATTATGCAGTTTTTTTTTTAAAAAAAATGTATTTTAAGAAAGTACAATGATATATACAGTATATTATTTTAAATCATGTTATTATTTATTAAATCAATTTAAAAGACCACCCAACCTGCACACATTGATTCTGGGTGGCAAACAGCAATATAGTCACTCTCCAGACTTGTTGATCTTTATCCCAAAATAGCAGCAAAATAAACTGAAATTTTCCAGTGTGGTCAGAAAGACCCCCTGGGTATAAAATAGAGACAGAGGTGTGTGGATTCATACAGGCTGTTCACTGTTAAAGTAAAGTATTATTGATTCAGTACTTGCAATGGGGATCTTTTTTTCCATATTTGGAAGTCAGGTCTATACAATGAATTAGGATCTGTGGTTATGTTTTAACTCTTCTTGCTTTCCCAAAGAATCCTTAGGTTTTGGAATAACACCTCCAGGATCCCTCTAGAATATAATAACTCTATTATTCTGTTCTGTTCTGTTCCCTTCGGTTCCCTTCCCTTCCTTTCTTCACCCATTTATCCCCTTCCCTTCTTCACTCATTTATTCCCTCCCCCCTTCCCTTCTCCTCCCCTCCCCCCCCCTTCTACATGTGGCAATTTTGGAGAAAAGGGTATAAATTTTATATACATATTATTCCTTTATTGATACTGAATTGGATACCAGTACGCTTTGCATCCTAAAGAATATTAACACTTTGTATGCGGGGAACAAGGTAGAACTATAACATGAGTGATCACATTATCATTGTCAAGTTTAACAGAATAAGAACTGAAAGGGACCTTGGAGGTCTTCTAGTCCAACCCCCTGCTCAAGCAGGAGACCCTATACCATTCTAGACAAATGGCTGTCCAGTCTCTTCTTAAAAACCTCCAGTGACGGAGCAGCCACAACTTCTGAAGGCAACCCGTTCAACTGGATAATTGTTCTTACTGTTAAGAAATTTATCCTTAATTTAGGTTTCTTCTCTCCTTGGTTACTTTCCATCCTTTGCTTCTTGTCCTGCCTTCGTGGAGAATAGGTTTAACAGATTAATAGAGTTGGAAGGGACCTTGTAGGTCATCTAGTCCAACCTCCCGCCCAAGCAGGAGACTGTACAGCATTTCTGACAGATGGCAGTCCAGTCTCTTCTTGAAAGCCTCCAGTGATGAAGCTCCCACAACCTCCGAAGGCAAGCTGTCCCCTGGGTTGATTGTTCTCCCTGTCAGAAAAATTCTCTTTATTTCTAGGTTGAATCTCTTCTTGATCAGTTTCCATCCATTATTTCTTGTCTGGCCTTCGGGTGCCTTAGAAAATAGGCTGACCCCTTCCTCTCTGTGGCAGCCCCTCAAATATTGGAAGACTGCTATCCTGTCTCCCCTGGTCCTTCTCTTCACCAGACTAGTACTTGGCTAGTCTAGTAAAGAGGAGCTGACCCAGTTCCTGTAACGGTTCTTCATATGTTTTTGTCTCCAGTCCCCTAATCATCCTGGTTGCTCTTCTCTGCACTCTTTCTAGAGTCTCAACATCTTTTGTATAGCCTGGTGACCAAAACTGGATGCAGGATTCACACTGTTCTCATGTCACTCATTCCCTAGTCCTTCTTTAGTTTTTTGAAAACCTGATTCTGCCTTATGCAGGTCAATATTAGTTCATCTTTTCCATTCAGTTCAGTTCCAGGGCAACGAACGATGTGATGATAAAGGTTTCAAATGCCCGAATGTAAAACTCAGAGGTGATTTTCTGCGCTCAGGATTCCCTGCCAAAAGAAAACTGGAAAGCAGCTTTTCCGTACGGCTTAACCTGACATCACACCATCTTTTCACAAATTGTGTGGGTTTCTTACAAGGAAAATGCTGCAGGTCATGGTGCTCAGCCAGAAAACCCATCTGTCAATTTTGCAGTTTGCCATATGCCAAGCAATTATTCTCACATTTACACCACCACAGATTCTTATTTACCTAAGTGCTGCCGAGGGGGCATGATATTCGCTTTCATCCTGGGTATTAATTGCAAAGGATGGGATATCGTTCCACCCCTCCCGTGGTGTTTTCTTTCCCGTAATAAATTCTTAAGTCGAAGTGTCTTAACTTCCTACAGCAATGATTTAAGAAAAACAAAACAAACAAAAAAAGACAAAACCCAAACCTTCTCTCAAACCAGGTCAGATAACAGACAATTTGGCCATTGGGTATAAAGAGACATTTGAGCAGTGATTAACTTAATTAAAGTTAAAGCTGTGTAAGGAATCTTTTGCTTCACGGTTCAGCTTGTCTAACTTCAAGAGAAACTCTTCGATCCCCAATTTTAAATGGAGAAAAGCAAAGTTTTTCTCTCTCTCGGCTTGTCTCTATACCACATTCATAAATCTTCCCTCTAGCATGGATCATTCTGGAGCTCCAGAAGTATGTGCAGCTGGTCCTTAACTTACGACCTTTCAATTAATGACTAAAGTTACAACCTCCCAAAAAGTAACAATCTTTTTTCACATTTATGACCATTGTGGCATCCCTGTGCTCCCTTGGCCTACGATTGTCAACTCATAAAACATTCCTATGCCTGTTTTAGTAGTTGCCATAAAAAAGGGGGTAAATCAAAAGTACATTCCAACTCTTATTTTTAAAAGGCTGTAAACTAAAATACCAGAGTTTTTGCTTGTGAATATATTTAATTGGAGAACGTGAATGATGACACCCAGCCTGTGAACGTGCTTAATTGGAGAATCTGGTTTATGAGACACCTAGGGGGGAAAACAGGGTCACAGGTGATTGTAAATTATACGTGCCAGAGTTGGCTTCATACAGGGCAGTGCCAGTCTGTCGCCTCTAATGAATCCTTCGAAGCTGGCTGAAGTTTGTCTCGAGAATCATGATTTAATTTGGGCAATTGCTGGAATTCTGACAACGAGCACAATTGAGCCCAACATTTCTGTTGCTAAATGAGGCAGTAGTTAAGTGAGTTTTGCCCCATTTTACGACCTTTCTTGCCACCATTGTTAAGTGAATCACCACAGTTTTTAAGTTAGGAACACCATTGTTAAGTGAATTTGGCTTCCCCATTGACTTTGCTTGTCAGAAGGTTGCTAAAGGGGATCACAACCTTCATAAATATGAGCCCAAAAGGTGATCACATGACCTGGAGACACCACGACCATTCTCAATATATGTCAGTTGCCAAGCATCTAAATTTTGACGATACGACCGTAAGAATGTTGCATTGGTTGTAAGAGTACAAAAAGGCCCTAAGTCACTTTTTTCAGTGCTAAAGAAGGGTTGTAAGTTGAAGACTACCTATAACATCCCTTACAAAGACCAGATGCTGAGGAGGGAAAATGGGAAGGAACTAATGCTGTGTTTTAAACTTCTTCAATATAACTAGCTGGCCATCACAAAAGTGCTTTTTCAAAAGGCAACTGGACTTTGTTTTTCCTTGAAGACATTTCACTTCTCATTCAAGAAGCTTCCTTCAGTTCTGACCAAATGGTGGGGGATGGAAGGATTTATTCCTCCACCACTCAGTCAGAACTGAAGGAGGCTTCTTAGATGAGAAGTGAAACGTCTTCAAGGAAAAACAGAATCCAGTTATCTTTTGAAAAAGCATCTTTGGGGACAACTATGATCTGGATTGACTGAGAATCTCTGTGAACATTTAGCTGGCCATCAGGTGACACAAAATATTAGAGCCTTGGTTTGCTCCCATCTTACATTAAAAAGGCATCGGTTTTACCCTTGCCTACTGGAATGACAGCCACCCTGATCCAAATATTATTAGAACACAGTTCATCTCCTTCATTCCATTTCTATTCCTCTTTACATTTTTAAAATCTGTGCTGTGCTAAAGAAAGAAAATACCCAATATGTAGACAGACAAAGCTGTACAAGATCCACCGACTAGTCTAAATTTTTCTTTCTTGCTGCTTGCCAAGGTTTTGAGTGCAGGTTTAAAACTAGGCATCCATCCAGCATTTCCTTTCTTCCAGGTTAAAATCAACAGTACGGTGAATATTGTTTCTCGAGGGCTGCATAATTTTCAAACACCAAAATGAAAAGTGTTGTGAATGAATAAAGTAAATAAGCCCAAATGCAAAGTAGGTTT